ATTTACTCATATTTTTAGAAAAGTAATTTTATTGCTATACTCAACATTTTTTTTTACTATGCAGTAATTAAGTCATGTTAAGCTGCCATATCATCTTGAGTAAACCTGCTAAATCCTTCTATAGAACTACAAATGAGGAATCAAACTCTCAAAAAAACTTTAAACAACTGGACAAGGGTAAACATAGTTTGTAAAAAAATTCCCACTTAAAATAGTGCAAAAAATAGGAAATAATTTCCTATATCATATCTGCATGTCCTGTGTGCATAAATAAAATTTTGAGCATAATAAATTCTTCATTGTGGCGAACTACATATTAAGCCATAGGTTCAGAAAGCCACTCACTCACAAGTTGTATTGTTTCTAATCTATCTTTGATACTAAGAAGATTTGTTATATAAAATTGAATTTCGTATTTGAGTAACACTCTAATTTTATTTTATTACCAACAAGCTGACCAATAACGTGCTATGTGATTTTTGAATTCTTTTCTCCACTTTTTTTTTTCCATACACGTTATTTAGTATTTAGTGTCTAATTGAAAATACCTAATGGTTAGAAAAACTTATAAATTAAAATACTTACCGGTGCATGTGATTAGCTGGATGGAACTCAATCTCAAGGTGGATGGCCATTCTTTTTTTCACCACATCATACGGTTTTGATATAAAGTACGTAAGAAACCAAACACGAGATTTACCTCTACTACACATTATACAATCTTTTTTTTTTTTTTTTTTGAGTTGCACTTTTGTAGACATGATAAATCAAGAACACCAAAAACCTTCACTAACCTTTGCATTTGGAATTCCTTGACCTGCAATTTGTAAAAATATGCTACAATATTCAAAGAACACATTCCAAAGAGTAAGGAATAAGGATTTGTTCTTGTATGAATATAGCGTACATATAAAGAGATTAATTAGCGGTGGAAAATATTCAAGAATGGATGTGTAAAGAAACCAACCTTTTCTTCAATTTTATGATACAGAGCGGAAGGCAATAGTCACAGATGAGAGATAGGCCAAAGAGAACACAGTACTGAGATGTGATAATATGAACAAATATATTCAATTCAATGATAATAAATGCATACATCAAGATTTTCTGTTGTGACTTATCATCTTTCAAGTATGAATGCTAGTGATAGAAACATGCTTAAGGTGAAAAATGAACAGGTTGTGTAACTATAAAGACATCAGCGTTAGATTTTGTAGAGTTTAACAATTTAGAATGATAAATCGCACAATTAAAAAATTAGTGTTGGCATTAGTTTTATTTATTAGGGTTATTATGATCAATTAAAAAATTTTCACTTTTGTTGACATTTTATAGTAATATAGATATAGATATATATTTATTAATTTATGGCTTTAATTGTCTTAGACTCTTAAGTGTCTTGGTGATTTCTTGATTCTTTGTCACTTCATAGTCTCCCAAAAAGGTAAACACCCACCTCACTTCACCGGTAACCCATCTTTCCACCTCTTTCTCACTTGTTTGCATTTCGGCTAATTATTTCATGGTGTTCCATCTCTTCCTCTCTCTCTTGATTGTTGATGTTTTGATTGGGGTTCCAGAAAAGACTCAATAGCAACCGAGTTTAAGTCGTTGTTTTGGGTAATGGTCCATGCTTTATGGATTGCATTACAAGAATAGTCAACAAACTCACAATCCTTAGTTTCATCCAGGTAAGATGATAATGGTGAGTACTAGGTTCATTCCATCACTGTTTTTTTTTGGGTGAAATACACGTTTATATGCATTAGAATAGTTTATATCTGAGTTGGATTTCCATTTGCATTGAGTGATCATCTATCTGTGTAAATTTTGATAATATTGTAATGAATGTCTTTGCAAAAGAAGTTGACAATCGATTTGGCTCAAATTCTGCAGGTTTACAGAGATTCCAAATCTACGCCTATGGTTTGTTGCGATGTCTGCCAGCGTTGGGTGCACTGCCAGTGTGATGACATCAGGTTTACCTTTGCCCTTGTTTACAAATATTAAAAAATATATTATTTCACCCTACCGAGCAGGTAGTTCAAGGTTGGATTTCAAGTAATTGCTGTCTTGTTCTTTGACATTTTTGATTGGCTACATACATTTATGATTTGGAGTTCAATTTGTCAGTATTGTGTTTAATAAGGGATGATGCAGAGCTTGCCAATAGGANATTTTTGATTGGCTACATACATTTATGATTTGGAGTTCAATTTGTCAGTATTGTGTTTAATAAGGGATGATGCAGAGCTTGCCAATAGGAAAGAGATATTGGGAATCTCATGTACAGCTCAAATTGGACCTTTACTGAGTTTTGGTTTACCCTAAAAGTTTTTTTTTTTCCATGTTAGTTGTACCTTTAAATGTTAATGGCATAATTTTATATGCGTGTTCAAGTTCTGTTCGGCATTTAATGTGAACTAATATATTTAACTTGATTTACTGGATTCCCAGAAGAAGAAAGATGAAACAATATTGAATCTTGTTAGAGGTGGAGATTCCTAACTGTGTTCTGTGCGTAGAATATAGACAACATAGACACCTTTATTCTTTCAGTCAGGTTGATTAAATCTAGTTATTTGCATTCCCATCTTTGACTATATGAGAATCCTCTTTCTTGGGTTACTATAGTGATCATTTAGTTATTGGGGACAGCCGTTCGTGGTGAAGGAGATGCTCTAAATTTATAGTAACTGGCTAATCAGGAAAACTTTCGGTATCCGTAACTTGTAAGCATGCCTGATTTCTAATTTTAATCATTTAGTCTGGCTTTCTCTAGTTTGTGATCTTGCGGTTGCTTGATTTTCTTAGAGAAACTTTACTATTTGAGTGCTGACCAACATGGTTGGTGAGCAAATGAGTTGCTACATCCATATTAAGAATTGGCCAAGAAAAAAAATCAATTCCAGTCACGAGAGGCCAATGCCAAGCTTTGGCATGTGGAGCTTTTTTTTTCTTTGGACTTGGACAATGTTAAGTTGGTCCAAGTAAAAAGCTTATCTCTCTTTGCTTGATTGCTAAGGCCCAGATGAGGGAAAGTCTGTCTTGCTATTTTATTGGAGGATGATGTCCTAGGTAGTGCCAAATGACAAGAAGGATTTGTGGAGCTAATCAAAGCATTATAGAGATAAGTTTTTATTTATTGAGTTGATTTGAGTTTATTAAGTGTTATATGATGCCTGTGTAATGTTAGTTATGGGTCTTGTGACAGTGCATTCTTCAGGGCCATGTCCAGTCTGTTATATCTTGCTATTCATTTATTCTTGTTTCCTTTTCTTAAGACTTTGGGTTTTAATGTGAGCATCTCGTAAGTCTAGAAAAAGCAATTCTTGATAAGGGTGTTCATCACTGTTCTGTGACTTGATTGCACTACATCCCATCATGAGTTATTGGAATATCAAGTTTGCTGAGGTTCTCTCTTATCTTGGTATTTTATCCTTTGGGTGTCTTTCTGTTGCTGCTATTCTTGTGGCACTGCCTTTATATGATTTTAGTAATCTCACCACCACAGGCATTATGATGGTATAATTGAATATTTACTTTTCGTCACCAACAGATTTTCCTTCTTTTTTTTTTTGTTTTTTTTTTCTTGGGCCGAGCCTGGGGGTTGGGGAAGGTGAATATGTCTCAAATCTACCGTAAATTTTTGTACCATAAACATGAAATTATTTTACTTAACCCAGCTGTATAATGGTTGGTGCGATAATGGAAATTAGAAATTTTAATCATGCTAGATGTTTTATATCATTCTTGATACAGTAAAACAAAGTTATTAGAATCTATAATATTGACGGAGGAGCATACAATTAGGAATTCAACGAAGGACAAGAAGTTATTGTTCAACGAAGGAGAGAAGTGGAATGTTCATGTTCAGGACAAGTAGTGGAATGGATAGCAGGTGGTGGTGGGAATAGCAGGTGATGCAGAAAGAGCAAGAGAAAGTTGAATTCTCATTGTTGATCTATGCCTGCAAGAGCCCATAAGAGAAACTTGTTCTGTTTTATTTTATTTTTTTTTGTGCTATTTTGCTTTCTTCTTTAATTTTTGTTACATTACTCTCGAGAGTTGAGACGCAATTAAATACTCATTCTTTGATCACTTGTAAACTAACAATAACTTGGTGAGTGCAGAATTAATGTTTTTTGACTCTCAGAAATGTAAATTTTTGTACTGGCAGAATTAAATAATATGTTTGTACTGACATATTTGTTTTAAAAAAAAATTATCAATACCGGTGTTTAAATAAATGTCGGAAATCAGTTGTTCCAAAAATAATAATTACTGGTGTTTAAATAAACGTCGTAAAATAGATCCAGTCACCAAAATTTTAAAAAGAAATTTTCGATTAAATAAACGTCACTTCAGTGTTTAGTAAACGTCACTTTAATTTTAGTGACGTTTAATTATACATCGATAATTTTTTTGACGGAGGTTTCAACCGCATTAATAACAAACATCAATAATAATATTTTACGACGTTTATTTATATATAATAAACCCCGATAAATGTCTCTTTTTTGCAGTGTTAGATCATAAATTAGATCTGAACCATTAAGCCAATAGAAGGGATACCATTAAACTTCTCTAATTTCTCAAGCAAAATACATTATTGCCAATGCCACCATGCCTTTGGCCTACAGATAGTTAAAGCCACTTGCATTTATTACAAGAGAAAATCAAAGAAAAGGGAATATTACAGCATCCAAAAAAAACAGAAAACCAACATTACACAAAACCCAAAACCCAAATAAACGAGAACTATTGGATCAGTGGGTCTCGTTTACAAAGATTGATGGAAGCTACTCATCTAATGGTTCTCCTTTATTTATTTGAGATATAGATTTGAATTATATAGTAGTTTTCTTACACAAAACAACAGTGGGAATTACACAACTTTGNTGGTTCTCCTTTATTTATTTGAGATATAGATTTGAATTATATAGTAGTTTTCTTACACAAAACAACAGTGGGAATTACACAACTTTGACCTTCGGAATTCAAATGGGAATTGCACTAGCAACGGACGGATAAACCACGGTGGCCGGATGAGCCATGAGGCGGCGACCCTTCGTCCGGCGAAAGCAGTACACCAGAGCACCCACCGGCCACTCCACAATCGCCGTCGCCACAAACGCCAGGAACCCAAGTGTTGGGCCGAACACCTTGCACCGGCAAGGGTTGCTAGTCGTGCCACACTGCACACATATCGGAAATACCATGACAGTCCGCGTGTGTGTGTGTTTTTATGTAATAATATTTGGACTTAGTGTAGAAGAATTGCAGAGATTTAAGGAGGAAGAAGATGAAGAATTGCAGGGCGTTTACCAAACGAAGCATGAAGAATGTGGGGGCTAAAATGTACTTTTATAGGCACTTGAAGGAGGGAATGGTATAGGGCGGTTGTAAAATTAGATTGGCTGGTACGCGTTGTCTTGTGAGAGCCTTACGATGTACACGTGTTGTTTCATAANCTTTTATAGGCACTTGAAGGAGGGAATGGTATAGGGCGGTTGTAAAAGAAGTTTGGCTGGTACGCGTTGTCTTGTGAGAGCCTTACGATGTACACGTGTTGTTTCATAAAGGAGGCTGGACATGTGTCTTGTTTGGACTGATTTGCTGTTTGATGTTGTGGAAATTTGTAGTGCGGTTCCAAGGACAATCATAAAGTTCACAGTCAGGACCAAAGCCTGGACCGACTTCAGACCTAGGCCCGTCTATTAATTTTTTGATCAAATTACTTATTTTTTTAAGTTGAGAAAGAATAGGGTATCGATATCGGTACAGTATTATATCAAAAATTATAATTTATTTTAGGCTAAGTTAAACATTGTTAAAGTAGAGGTTCCAACTGTAAAAATGATAAAATTTATAATTTTTAAAAGTAAAATTATTATTTTTTGAGATTAAGTTATACATTTTAAATTAAGTCTATTTTGGACAAAATTTATTAAAATAATAATAATAATTGAGGAGACCGTAAATCTTGCCCCTTACGAATAGAATAACTTTAAAAGATTANGTGATCAAATTACTTATTTTTTTAAGTTGAGAAAGAATAGGGTATCGATATCGGTACAGTATTATATCAGAAATTATAATTTATTTTAAGTTAAGTTAAACATTGTTAAAGTAGAGGTTCCAACTGTAAAAATGATAGAATTTATAATTTTTAAAAGTAAAATTATTATAATTGAGGAGACCGTAAATCTTGCCCCTTACGAATAGAATAACTTTAAAAGATTACTCTAAAACGCTAGGAAAGAATAACTTTAAAAGATTATTCTAAAAAGTTTGCAAAGTGCTCTCAAAAGCTTAGCAAATTACTTTATCACTCGTGCTTGCTTTTACTAAGTACTCATCAGTATGTACCCCACCATGAATCCAATTTAACTTATCTTGTAAGGCAAAGCCTTCAAAAATATCTTGGAAGGGGTGGGTCCCTTGTTCCCACTTCCTTGAAATGCTAGGAACTAGCATTGTCCTTTTGATTAGGTTCTCAAGTAATTGATACTGTATTCCATTCCCATATAACAAGCAGATCACGTTGCATACTTGCATGTGCTATGGCCCACCACTTACCATTAAATGATCTACAATGTAGCATGAAAACATTGGAGTCTTCTAAAAGTTCCAAGAGGCAAGATTTGGATTTAGCAAATCTCCGTTTTTTTTCATCTCCTTGAAAAAAACTTGGGCTTTCGGTTCTATTTTAAAAGGAAGTCCCAAATTTTTAAATATCATAAATAATTTATGTAAAAAGTATTTTATAAAAATATAAGCTTAATCAATTATTTAGGCCCATAGCTTAATTCAAATATTAAATATCTAAAAAAAATTAATAATAAAAAAAAGTCTAAACTCAAAAGTCACATCAAATTTTTTAAAAAATCAATACACTTACTTTTAATTCTATCTCTCTTGGTAAACCAACACAAAAAATAATCTTTTTTTCCTGTCTCTCTCTTATTAAACTAAATCAAAAAACATTCTTCATTTCTCTCGCTCTCTCACTCAATGCTCTCAACTCACAGTAGCACAACATCATCCATATGAGACGTTCTCCATCCTTCATTTTAGATTCCGAAAAAAAATTTACGTCTTAAATTGAAGGTTGTGTTATATATTTTAACTATACTATATACTATTTGTGTTTGTTTGATTGTTATATAATTATAATAAATTAATAATATGACACCTAGAAGACAACCAAGTGGATATGAAAAATTAAAAAAAGAAAAAAAGAAAAATGGACCAACTAATAGAATTTAAAAAGGGTCTCCTGATAAATTGATTATTAGTAACAAAAATAATGTAACAAAAAATTTAGATAAAATTTATGAAAATGAACAAGTAGATAATGAAATAGAAGAGAATAAAATAAAAAATATTGAAATAGAAAATATTGAAATAAAAGATAATGAAATAGAAGATAATGAAATGAAAAATATTGAAAAATAAAATAGTGAAATAAAAGATAATAAAATAGAAGACAATCAAAATCTTAATGAAATAAGTGATTATAGTCATATAAATATTTATGATCCAAGTCAATGGAAAAATATTGATACAAAATCCTAGAGCATTTTACACACTATGTAGTTGTCATAATTTAAATCTAGTACTTTGTGATATGATTAACTATTGTCCCAAGGCTATCATTTTTTGGAATAGTACAACGTATATATTCTTTATTTTTCTCTTCCACAACACGATGAAAAATTTTACAAGATAATGTTCAAGGTTTAACTCTTAAGTCAATGTCACAAACACATTGGGAAAGTCCTGTTGAAAGTGTTAAAACAATAAGATTTCAAACTCTAAGAATAAAAGATGTATTATTGAAATTAGCGGAAACTAGTGAAGATCTTAAAATAAGAAGTGAAGCTAATTGTTTAGCAACGTATGAGATTGAGAATTTTGAGTTCGTGTTGGGTATGACTATTTGGTATGATATTTTATTTTTCGTCAACTTAGTTCATAAATATTTACATTCAAAAGACATGCATATTGATATTGTTATAAATCAATTAAAATGTTTCATTTCTTTTTTTTAAAAATATAGGAAAAGTGGATTTACAAATGCTATGATTTCATCTAAAAAGATTGCATGTGAAATGGATATAGAACTTATATTTCGTGAAAAACGTAGAGTTCGTAAAAAAAATAATTTGATGAAAATATTGATAATGAGGTAACACAATATATTGAAGAATCTTTTAGAATTGATTATTTTACATATATAATTGATCAAGCTATTTTTCACTAAAGAGTAGATTTGTACAATTGTAAAAGTACGAAAATATTTTTGGCTTTTTGTTTAACTTAGAAAAATTAAAATTATTGACCAATGATAGTTTAAAACAATATTGTTTGGATCTCGAATGTTTCTTAAAACATGAAATTGTTTCCGATATTGATAGCTTAGATTTATTTTTAGAACTAAATGTTTTAAAAGAAATTTTACAAACGAAAGAAAGTACTCTAATTAAGATACTAAATTATATAAAAAATTTAGATTCTTTTCCAAATGCATGCATTACTTATAGAATATTATTAACAATTTATGTAACAGTTGCTTCTGCAAAAAGAAGTTTTTCAAAATTAAAATTGATAAAATATTACTTAAGATCGACTATGTCACAAGAAAGAATAACTAGATTAGCGATACTATTAATTAAAAAAGATATGATAGCAAAACTTGAATTTAAAAACTTAATTAATACTTTTGCAACTCAAAAAGCAAGAAAAATTAATTTTAAATAAAAAATATTAATACTAAACATAGAAGTGCTCATTTAGAAGTATCATTTTAGACTTCAAATTATCCTGAGTCACCCATTGTAGCTTAACCTTTCTCCTCCCCTTAGCCATGCAAAATATATTCTCCATCTTCCCTTACCAATTCAAACTTCCAACATATAACTTGTCCCCCATTTTGTCCAAGTTTGTCTCCCACTAAATAAGGTAATCCCCTAAATCACACAAGTCTCCCCTTTCAAGTTTTTAAAGAGTCCAAGTGAGAACCGACTTGCATGCATGTGAATCCTTCAAAACAGTCCATCAAAAAAATATGCTGGTTTCCTTGCTTCTGAGAACATGCAGTAGCTGAAAATCTTGAAAATCCTCCATGAAGTAGCTGAAAATCCTCCATTTAGCGCCAATATCCGTATGGATTCTTTTGCTTTGGAATTTTGAAGGTTAGATTGAATTTGGACCTAGTCATTATTGGTGAATTTTCCACGGTTGGGATATTATTCAACACCAACACCAAAACAACTATGTCCTCTTCTTTTCTCTTTTTTTTTTCTCTCAGCATTATTGAGTTTTCCCAACAATTCTTTGGACTTAGTNACCAAAACAACTATGTCCTCTTCTTTTCTCTTTTTTTTTTCTCTCAGCATTATTGAGTTTTCCCAACAATTCTTTGGACTTAGTCATAAAAGACTTATAATCCATTTGAGGCACTAAATTATCCTCCTTCCCTTTAGAGAAAAACCCTCTTGTGTTCTCGTGAAGAGAAGACTCTTTCACATAGTCATCATGAGAGAAAATTCTATTTAATTTCAATGTTTGGTGAATCTCTTTCTTGGACATATTTGGAATGAGCTCCTCTTCACTATGGATACGCTTGTGAACTTCCTCCATCATTTCCTTGGAAATAATTAAAGGCTTGTACAATGGGTCCGAAGCTTGCTTATTCAAAACACATGGACCGTCCAAAGAGATAGACTTTTTAATATCATTTTCTGAATTATCATCTGAACTTGTGAAAATCTCACTATCATCTTTACTTGAAAGAATCTCACCATCTTCTCTATCCAGATTAAGAAAATTGAAAGAAACTCTTTTATGCTGCCTTTGAGATGCCTTATCAACTGCACCCATCTTTAAAATTTTGTGAGAATTATCCTTACCAGAATCTAGATGCAAAGAATGCCCATGAACTTTAGTCATAGTAACGGATTCAGATTCTATGCTTGTTCAGTTGACACTGCATCTCCTCCAACTTATTAATCAAATTATGCTCTTTGAATTGAACTAAAATTGAATGATCATTATCATGCACGAGAACTGTTGCTTCCAAAGTTTCCTTGCATTGTGAATCTCCTCCGCTGCATTTGGGGGGTTTATGAGAGCAGTATCCTAGAGAGGATTAGAGCTTTCAAAACCGAAACCTCTGCCTTCCCGGTTTAAAATGGTATTAGTATCTTTCCCTGAGTGGTCACCAATCTCAATCACTCTACCTGTGTCCTCTTCATATGTTTCTTGTGAGCGCCCCTTAATTTCTTGAACATTACCCAAAGTGTCCTTTTTCCCATCAGTTTGTTTCTCCGTATAATGTTGTTTCCAAATACCCCTTGATTGTTGTGGCCCATTTGGTGGCTTTGATTTCGATGGAGATATTTTCTGCCCATTATTCTCCATGCTTGGTTGAGTCTGTGTTCCATTATTCTCCAAGATTTGCTGAGCGTGCTTTCCTTTTTATTCTCTGATATTGCCTTAGTCACCTTGGCTTTTTAAGGAAGTAAATCCTTACATAGTATATATGCTCATAGAGTTTCCTTTTACGACATTCTTCCTCGCAGTGGCCTTGTTTCCTGCAAGCTTTGCAGAAAAAGTTTGTTCTTGTCATACACAATACGCTGCCATCGACCTCCCTCATCACCCATGTCTATCCATATTCTGCACGAGTTTCTAGCTAATAGGTTGACTTCTACACACACCCTAGCAACCCCCAGTCTTGTAAGGGTTAATGTAGCTTGATCATACGCTAACACTTTCCCAATAGGCTTGGCTAAGACCTCTAAATAATTTTTCTTGAAAAGTTTTAGTGGCAAGCCTAGTAGAGAAACTCACATGGGCACAATTGAAGGTTCTATTCCTGGTATGAAGACTGAGAACCATTTGAAGAACCGAAATAAATAATCCTCAATCAGTGTAGCGTCCTTCAACCATGTCTTGACATAATCTTCTTGAAGTTGGAACTTTGATAGGAATGTGTCGTTGATCAATTGAGCCCCCTTCAAACTCACCCTTGAGATGCCATTTAGATCATATTACCTCCTTGATAACTATTGAAAATTTACATGCAAGTACACACGATCAACAAGTAATAAAGTGATAAATAGAGTATCGTTTCCACGGAGAATTATTACTAATAAGTTCCAAGTACTAACTTTATATCAATTCAATTTTATTTAAACAATTGAAATTGAACTATGAAATGACTAATTTAAAACTAAATATAAACTTAATAATCAAGGGTTGAATTTACCGGATAAAAAAAGTTAAGATTACAATTTTTCCTAATTCTTCGTATAAATCTTTCCACTCTCTTTCTAGTTAATTGATCAAAATAAATTGTTAACTGATAACTCAAAATTATTTATTAAACATCTTCTGATAGTTAGATAAAAATATCTCTCCCAATTAAATTATTATATTTCTATGTAAAATAATTTGGAATAGATTCATTAAGTTCAAAGTCTCATAAAAGTTACAAATGACATATAAGTATATTCTTATCTTATACACAAACCCAGCAATTCAATTCTTAGAAGAATTAATCAGACGCTTGTCATCATATTCAGATTTAAACTTAGAATTCATCTTCCAATTTTATCTAAGTTATCATATTAATTGTTGGTCATCATATATTAAGCATAAAATATGACAAACAACTCATATATGATCAATAAGAACTAGAAATAAGAGTAGATCAATTTAACTAAACATCAGGTTCCGTTCCAATTTTAATAAAAATTTAGTTCAAGCTTGCAGTGCTCACTCAATTTGGGTTCAGTCCTCTAGAAGTGAGAGTTGAAACTCATATCCCAATATCTATGGCAGGTGTGGAGGATTCTGCTAGTAAGGATTTCCTTCTCTATTCCTAGCTCTACTTTTTCTTCTTTCTGAATTACCGACCTATTCACTTCTATTTTTCAGGTCCCAGCTCAATGGCTCCTAATGCTAAGATAGTAAGTGTAAGACCATGTATTAAAAATTAAAGAAGGGTAATATTTTATTAAGAGTTCTACTAAGGTGAATAAAACGATGGTAGAAAATTAGAATCATTGTTGAAAAATTGATTATGAAGTTTGAGTTTCAAGCATATAAACTTTCGAGGTAAATTGTGTTTTGGAGATGTTTGAGCTTGAGAAAGATGGCTAAGTAATGCTATAAATATTTTTAGGTCAAAAATAAAGTTTTTATTGAATCTAGAAGGTCAAAAACCTTGGAAGAGATTATATGAGTTGTATTAGAAGTATTCTAGAGTTAAAACCTATTTTGGAGATGATTTTGGTAGAAAGGAATTTAATATAACTTTAGTATTTTGACTATAATTTTTTATCCGAATGTCCTATTGACCTGAACTTTTACAATAGAAACTAGATTTCAAGAGCTACAAAAGTGTATTTCACAAAAAATTTGTAAATCGACTTCTAACTAGGTTAAAATCGAGTTGGAAGTCAGGGGCAGACTACTACCCGCGTCCAAACGGGAATTCTCTATTGTTTTAGCCTATAAATACCATAGGGCCGCGATCTAAAATGTCTTTATTTATTTTTTCAACCCTAAGAACCCTAAAAAAGTTTGAGGAGAAGAAAAGGAGGAAGAACGAGCTAAATCTTGAGCGGTTAACATGTGATAATTGAAACAAAACACGTTAGGACCAAGATCTCAAGAATCAAGGTAGAGGTTCTTTCTCAGATTCATTCATTGATGATTAGGGTTATATAATATTTATTTTCATCCTTATTATGATATAAATAATTTATTTACAACATTTTTACATTCGTGTGAATCCATGATTCTTTTCTTGAACAAAATAATGATTTACTTCTAAGATCTATTCATTTTTTGATTTAAAAACATTGTTCTTGATTCCCACTCCATATATATGATGGATCTACAACATTTTTACATTTTTTTTAAATATGTGTTTCAATTCTTGAATAAGCACGTGATTTACATCCAATTACATGTTTTACATCAAAAGATTTTAAGTCCTTGATTACAAAAACCATAGTTCTTGATTACTATCGATTCAAATGTATTTTATGTGAAATCTCTTGCATGTTTTATTGAATTATGTCTTTGAAAAGTTATGGATCCATGATACTTGATTTTAGTTGGATTTTATGAAAAGTGTTGTTATTATCTCTTATATTGGTGGGTGTGATGAACTTGGGTTACACTCGAATGCCTATTGTAGAGTGTTAGAGGTTTTTCTACTTTGAGGGGTTTGGTGGTTGCCTAACACTCATAGAGAATTTAGTTTCTTGCGAGGGTTAACCACTATTTGTCCATGTAGGTACGAAGCCGGGGGCTACTATACTATTCCTAGAAAAGGATATGTCAATGCTGATACGTTGGTACACGCCATTCCTAAAGTGTTGTGTCCTTGCAGGGATTGATTTGAAATGGTATGTATTGTGGGTGGACGAGATAAGCTCAGTGTATGGATTCACAGTAGTCTACCTATATCCATGAGATATTATGTTATGAATTGTGATTTTTGTGAATGATTCTATCATATTGTGAACTCTACTATTTTATAATGTAAACTTGAAATCTCATTAAATGTCATTGTTTTACTTCAAAATTATATATATTATTTTAAAAATTGTGACTTACCTATTTTCATGATTTCTAAACTTTATTTAGGTATGAGAATGTTTTCCTAATTGGCTTTACTGCTCACCCTACCATAACATTTTTCATATTTTAGTGTTGAGGAGAATCCAAATTTAGATGAGCTGGTGGATTGTGATGCTGATGGGGATCATGAAGTGAATCCAATTGTGGAAGTTTGAGAATGAATTTTAGTCTCTAGAGTTTATATTTTATGGTTTACTTATGTTAATGATTTATTTATGTTTTCATGGGGGATTTATCTAATCAGATGTTGGATTATGAAATGTTTTATTTATTTAATGGTAATTTAATATGCTCTCATGGTTGGATGTTGTATAGATTGTTAATGCCTTATAAGGTGGATTTTAGGGCTTTATAGTAAGGGCCAAGGTGGCCCAATTTTGGAATGGTAGAACCGGGGGTAAATGCAAGGCTAAAGTTAGATCTGGAAGCAACCTAGATCCTCTTCCAAAGGTCCAAAAGGTATAAGTGCCTCCACCTCCTCCGACGACCTCCCCTCCTCAGAAGTCGTCTTCTCAACCAATGCCTCCTTTCGAGGGGAGTCTCACTGCCCAGGTCCAAGGTGGGGGACCTTCCTAAAGCTAGGTTAAAGAAGCCCTCATCCATGACTAAAGAGGAGGCTGGTGAGCTGAGCTCTTTGGCCCCCTCTTTACGAGGTCTTTTTGCGCCACAGTCAGCTAAAGTAGCGCCTGTCCAACTGGCCTCTGGTAAAATTGAGGGCTCTTTTGGCCAAGCTTCTCGAGGCAAGGGTTCACTCATTAGGGATGTGAACCTTACTACTAGTACTCTTCTATCTATCATCCTGGAATCAGATATCTAGGAGGTAGCCACAATCCCTTTGTCCACCTTAGCAACTACTACTCTTTTTGGGGCAGCTTCGGTAAGTTTCTATTTGGCATACTCTCAACTTGGATCTGCCTCTTTATAATTTCTGACATTATATCTTGCTTGCTCTCACAGATGGCCATCCTGTGGGAGCTCTGGTGTAAAGGGTTCGAGATCTGAGGAGGATGCGAAGACAACTCGGAAGTCCTCAAAGGCCTTCGAGCTTAAGGTCTCTAAGCTGTCTTTCTCTAATGATGACCTGCGTGCTCAAGTTCAGGATTTGAAGGCTCTAGTGCAAGATCTAAGATTAGCTAACAAAGACTTAGAGGTTAAGGTTAGGAGGACGAGTGACAAGCTTAAAATCAAGACGGATGGCTTCTTCCAAGCTCGGAAGGATGTCTTCGAGGCCCGTAATGTTATCTATACTTTGAAGAACAATTACAAGATGTTGGTATAGGTCAATGCTATGCTGTTGAAGGAGGTTGAAGCTAAGAGGGCCAAGGTAAGAGAAAGAGATACCCAGATAACAACACTTCAAGATGAATCTATTACGAACTGGGCTACAAGGTATTTTGCCTTCCAAGAGCACACCATAGATAAATATCCAAATCAAGACTTCGACTTTGATAGGAGGCTGAAGTCGAGGTTTCTTCTTCTAGTGTTTTTCTTGAGATCAAAGCTTATGTTGTTGTCCCTGTTGGGGATGAGGTCGAGGCTCTTGAGCTTGTTCCTGCTGAGTCTGAGGTCCAAGCTCCTGAGCTGGTTCCTAACAAAATCGAGGTCCTAACTTCTGAGCTTGTTCCACTCCTGCTAGCTTCTACTAGGATGGTAGTGGAAATTTTTGTGATTGACTTAGAAGTTCCTTTTCCTTCAACTGTTCCTGCTAATGATGAGGTCACTGTACCTTTACATTCTGAAGATCTTCTTGATTTAACTATTAC